TGGAGCCACACTGCAGGACATGCCATTTTCTCCATCTCATCAGAGCACAGGAGATGCACAGATCAGGTTTATTAGTCTTCAGAAAGCTCAGGCAAATCATTTTTCCTAAAAAGGGGCTTATTCTAATAGCTACTTATTCTAATGGCTACTTTCTCAGGTGTTCTGTAGCTCTCACACAATAATGTAATTTCCTTGGCCTGCTGCAGTGCGTAAACCCCGACCAACTCTCTCTCCCCTCAGCCTAGTGCCTCTCACCAGGAGCGAGGGCAAGCTGAAGGCTCCTTCCACCAGGGATACAAACACCAGCACCCAAACCTTACGTCTCTGATAACTGGGAATCTCTCAGTTCTTTTGCATTTCCGCACTTCCCTTGCTCCTCTCACACAAAGGCCAGGTTGCAGCAGCCTTCGTCCTCTCTGCTGTCAGCTGCTTTGTAGCCCGTTTGCTTCTGCCTTCACTGCACACTCACACACGTCCTTGTCCAACCGCAACCAACTCATTTTATTACCGACAGATATAAGAGACTCCATTTCTGTAAAAAAAAAATCTGGGTTTTATTTGGATATTGTTCCCTTTCAGAATATGCACCCCAGATACGTACTAGAAGAGGAAAAAAGAAAAAGAAAAAAAAAAAAAAGAAGAGGAAAAAGAGCTAGAAGGCAGGCCGTTTTTGTTATTGGAGATCTTGGGAAGACATCATCAACTCGTTCTTTCCATCTGTTACTGACTCCACGCCAGCAGAAAATCTTTGTTGATTCAGCTCTTTTCAGGAGCTGGGCGTGTGTGAAAAGTCATCGTGCCATACAAGCATAAAGGCAGGGTAGCTCTTGAGGGTAGCTCTGCATCAATTTTTTGGTGAAAAGGATGTACTATTCCTCACAAGTGCGATTTTGAAACTGCACATCAGCAAAAGTCATGGGTTTTACTTAAACATACCTAAAACTTTCCTCAAGTTTCCTTCACCAGACCTCAGTTAAGTTCAAATACTAGGTTTATTAGTCTTCAAAAAGATCAGTCAAATAATAAAGCATTTTTCCCAAAAAGGAGCTGATTCTAATAGATACTTTCTCAGAGAGAGAAAGGAAAGGCATCAAAACTAACAATTCAAGTATAAAAAAACCAAACCTATAGGAGTACTAGGAATACAAAGAGCTTGTTTCAACCCATCTTTCTTGAAGGAGCTATGTTAAAACACTCGGGCCTGAGGCTGGCCCTCCGAGGTCGGAAGGTCCTGTCCTCACTGCCCTCCTGGAGCCTGTCACACTGGGAGGCAGTCCGCATCTCCGGAATGACTTCTGAAGGTTAAAGAGGGTCCTTTGATGCAATTAGTCCATTCCAATTGGGAAAAGGAAAAAAAAAAGAACCAAATCCAACAAGATCCACCACTCTATTCTACCACATTTAAATTTGCTGCAATCACCAACCTGTCTGCAGGAATTGCAGCTCTGCGAAGGAGGGAAAGGAGGGAAGACCATCAGATCCACGGGTGCCTGCTGCTCACCTGCAACAGGTGTACTGCTTGATACAGCCACCTTTTTTTCATCCCTGATACACATTTTAGCCGTTCATTTTACTTCGGGTTTTCAATAAAATTCCTCTTGGTCTCACAAGACTTTAAAGTCACAAAACAAGCACTTTTCAGTATTTAGTTTACATCCTAAGTGCTGTGAAGTGTTTTGTTCAGGCTGATATGGGCAGTAGTCAGCTGAGTGGACTGCTGGTCCTTGTACAGTTGTACTGTACAGCTGCATACGACTGGTAAGGTTAGAAGACACAGTATCACTGTCAAAAGTTACCGCAGGAAAAGAAGGCACAGCCAGAATCTAAGAAAATGAAGGAAAAAATCAAAGTCACTTGGATAAAAAGTTTAAATGTTCAGCTTCCAAGCCTCCTGACATCATCACGTAGATTCTAAACCCCAAAGGGTTAATGATCTATTTGATTCAGCCCCTGACTTGGTTTAACAAGCTTATTCAACAGTCTCTCAAGTTCTCCTGGCCAGCTTCTGTACTGAGCATCTGACATTTCTTTTTTCCTCTATTTCAGAGCCAACCCAGCATAGAAAGCCCAGTCCCATTACTGTCTGTTCAGAACCTGGGGCAGGTGCCAAGTCCCCTGAGCATGAGGAGGAGCGGTCCTTCCACAGGAAAAAGCTTTAGCAGAAGTCCTTTATGTACAAGTTAAAGCCACAAAGGGCCGGGCGGCAGAGGAACGGTACAAAGCTCTACTGGAAACAAGAGGGGACACAGCGTTTGTTGATTTACAGTGTTTATATTCCTCTGCACAAAACCCAGGCCCTGCACATCTCATCAGCAAGCTCAGTTGTCCACCTCTTCCTCATCATTTTGCTCTTCTTCCTCCATCCTTTCATCATCATCATCATTCTCTTCCTCTCGGCTCTTATCTTGCTCCTCTGAATCCGTCTTCTTGTCTTTATCTTTCCTTGCTTCTTTCTTGCCTTTCTGTTCACGCCTGTAAACTAAAACAGAAAAAGAGAGAACACTGAAAAACTGCAAGCCAGTGTTTCCACGGCATGAACTGTACAGTAGCTGAAGTCCAACATCCACCTGCTCTCCAGGCTTACAACGGGAGCAGGGAACTCATAACAGCAACTCACCCTATTATTTGAGCTGTGCTGACCAGCTCCATAGGAAATCAGGTTAAGTTTCAGCAGAAAAAAATGCTGAAAAGGATGCAGGAGTTCACATTTACAGGCAGCACCTAAGACTTTCCTTAGATAAACATAATAGGGGAGTGATAGCAGATGAGACTTTCCCAATCCTCATCAGTTGTGAAATAATGCTATCTCAGTCCTGTTAAGATGCACATTATTTATTCCCCGGGCAAACTGCAGTGTAGGATGCTGGGCAAAGAGAAGAGAAACAAGGCAGGCAAGTAAGCGTTGCTTGTCGAGTGTTCGAGGAAAACAGGACTTCGTGCTACTTAGATTCCATCAACATGGACAGAGGATGATACCTTCCAGTGATTCTTTCAAAGGGGCAACAAATCGTTGAAACTCCATTTCCTCCATGGCAGAGAGAACATCACCAGCATTCAGCGTTTTCCTCTTCCCCTTCATGGCAAAGTTATTTGCACTAGTCAAAACCAAGAAGGAAAATAGTTATTGGTACTGTTGTCAATTCAGTCTTGTTTATTAAAGTCACAAGCAACTTAAAAAAAAAAAAAAAGCCATCTCCTAAACATTTGGGTTTTTTGTAATCACTGACTAATAGTAGTTTAAGATACATTCGTGTTTACATTGTGCTTTCACGCAGCTGCATTGCTTTCCCACAACATTAGTTTTCTGCTTGCACGGATCTTTTCTACAACCAAGGGACACAGAGAAAGTCTGAACGTTGGCTGTAAGGTGACAATTCCACAAAGCCGTGTGCGTACTTAACACCAGAGAACTGACTGCCTGCACAGCATGTTCTGAGCCACCCCAAAGACGTTACCAAGTCTTCCGTGACCAGCTCCAAGGCTGACTAGCTTGGCTTATGCTTGCCCCAACGCAGCTGTGTGGTGAGCAGCCTGGAGAGCGAGCAAAGTGCTCTTTGCCTTTGCCAGGAAAAGCCAGGCAGCCACATTCTAAGGCTGATGGCAGTTTGGGACCCCTCTTGTCCACGGTGGGGTTGGGGCATCTCTGTGTACAGAGCCAAGCTGCCTTCCCCACACTCCATTAAGCGCAGTACAAACCCAACTGCTGCAGCGTGGCAGATTGGGCTACACTAAAGATTGTTTTATTTACACAGACAATATAGCAATATAGAAGCAAATACTCCAGGACACCCAGCGGATAGATGAATTATAAATCAACTGCACTGGTTATCTGATGCAACAAATTCTTACCATGATGTTGCATAAAGCACAAACACACTTGCTGCTCGAGATATTGCGCTCCGAGCTTCTTTGGAAATATTTACTCCATCAGGAAGCTGAAAAATAAATTCAACTTTTATCAGCAGCTGCTATAAATGACTTAAACTTGCATAATTCACGTGTCAGTTCTGTTAAGGCATACAGAGGGCTCAGCACAACTGGAAACTGAATGTTGATCTCAGATGCTCTCACATAAACATTGATGCCAGCTGAAAGCCAACCACAATTTGAATGTTTTCTCTCAAATGCAGTAAGCTACACATAAGCAAAGTACCTTCTGGATCAGTGCTGGGTCTGGCCACTATCTCCAGGGCAACTCATCCGCTGACTATCAAGTTCCTGACACCAATCACCCTGCCATTCCATTCAGCAACATCTCATAGCTCAAGCCCAGACATATCATTAAACGAACGACTGGGAATTATTTTAGATTTTTATACAGAGAAGGAATCGCTTCTGCTCTGATTTTGTTTGGGACCTGGTTCAGTCAATCCCACTGCGAGCGCTCTCTGCCTTTGAACTTTACTTGGAACGTTACTGGGGGGGTTTGCAGGCTGGACCGTCCTTTCTGGCCACCCGGAGGGCCACACCGAGAGCCCATCTCCTCAGAGGAGGCCTCGGGGACGCCGCACGGGCGGCAGCC